CTTGCCTTTGGCTTCACCTGCACAAGTGACAAGGTAGGACTCTGCGACAGAATTAGTTTCCCCTGCATTGGGAGCATGCGTTGGGCTGTCCAAATCACGGACAAACAGTATCCCACAGTTGTTTATGTTTCTGTACCCATTTTGTACAGAGAGACACTATTTGAAAAATGTATTGATAGCAGTGTTGAATATTATTACACAGGAAAAAAACAATAACACGTAAAATAATTACACCGTGATGCTTTTGCCTTTCTAAATGGAGGGACAGTAACTGCGTGTGTATATGTAAGTGTGTAAAACCTGCAGATAGTAAGATTAGCAGTATTTTGTCTATATCCGCCATTGTGGAAATTCATCTCATGTAAACAATAACGTGGCCAACAGCGTCACGTGAAAAGAGGTACATACCCTTGACGTTTCGTGACGAACTCAGTATTCCTCGTCCACACGTAAACGCAAAAACTGAGTTTTCACAAAATCTCACAAAAAAACGCCATTTGCGTGTGGATTATTAATATTATTGCACGCAGTCAGGCTAGCTAGTTCTAACCAATGCTAGGCTGAGGAACTTGACAAATAGCTCTAGTTTAACTCTGATCTTTCCTTAAAGCCATGCTAGAGTGTCTTTCTAGCCAGATGCGACAGCTATAGGTCCAACCAACTTCTTTTGCAAAACCAAGTCCTAACCAACAGCGCATGAGAGTGGGGCCTCAGCAGAAAGTTACAGACAGTTTCTTTTCTGCTCTTCAACAGTTGTTTGTATATTGCAGGTCTGCACTTTGGTGGCTAAGGGCAAGAGCACTTGTAAACTAGATGGACAGTACTCACCTCCAATCAAAGGTGACATCACCTGACAGCTGATGTTTATTGGGCCCTGTTTCCATGTTCTCCACATTCCTGTTTCCAAGATGTCTGTCTCCATCTCTGCCTCCCAAAGTGTATGAAGATTCACTTAGCATCCTTTGTATCAAGAGCCAAGGCTACTGAAGTCAGTGCATTGGTTCCCTCCTCCAGAATCAAAAAGGGGGCTGCCAGTGTCTGGAACTAGCCCTGAGGAACCACTCAGTAAAATTATGGACGTCTTTCTCATCTAAGACTTTAATTGATGTTATTGTTACAGCATGTAATAGTTATGCCATAACATGTTCTAAGAGTCCTCAAAAAACAAATTCAAATGGAATCAACAAAGAGTTTTGTGAAAAAGAATCAACTCAAATCTCACATTTTTAGTAAGACGACAAGATTTCACATCTTAAGTCTTGAGCAGGATCAGTGTCATTTATTTTTGGTATTTTTGTAATATTTGTATCATTTTTCTTCAACCTTTATGATATTCTTTAGAAAACAACAAATCATAATACAAAATGATTTAAGGTTATATTTACCTCTTGATTAGTATCTTAACCTACTATTTTATTTTAAGTACATTCACTAAAAGTTGCTGGTACTTTTAGGAAGGCGCAGGGCTTTTTGCCAAAGATATAATGCATATAATTTTATAATGGAAGGATAGGTACTTAAAATGGACAGACCCATACCTCCAATATTACCTTGCAAATGGACGTGAGGCAACATTAGCTTTTAACATTGCAGTTGATTTACATTTATTATAGCTCCACTTTGATTCAGAAAATACAGTGGAGGGTGAGCTATAAAGAGAATGATGGCCTGTAAGTTTGTAAGTGAGAAGCCATTAATCAAACTGACCTATAATGTTTAGTTTTAATTTCAAAATACAATAAGTTCTTTGTCTGCTTTGGACTTAAAGAACTTAGAAAAAAGAAAAAAAGTTATTTTTATGTGCACTGTGAATATTACAGGTCTGGATTACTGTAGGTGTGACAGTACGTAAATTTTCTACAAAACTGAGCTCAGATGAATGCAGCCCCAAACCAACTCTGCCACATATTCTACGGTTAGACAGAGTTAATGGTGGTGAACAATCACTGCTAAATGATTTGAGAAATGCAGAATTTTAATATTATTTAACGTGACTCATTCTTGCGCATTTGTAAGGTAGAAAACAAAAAACAAAAAGACAGATGGAAGTTTGACTGTCCTCAACTTGCTAGTAATGCATGCAGCATGAAAAAACAAGACAGGTGGGATGCGACTAGTCGAACAAGCAACTACTCGAACACGTAACTACTCGAACACGGAGACTAGATTTGTAGTTGCAGCCAGGGTCTTCTTGCTGTGTGGTACTGTTCCATTATTGTGGCAAAAATAATGGAATCAGTAAACATATAAATAGAAAATGCATCGATATTATGGCAGTTAATATAATTACGAACCAAGAAGCATAGTTAGCTCAAGTACTTTTACTGGTTGTGCTGATTCAAATTGATCTTTCACAGTTTATCATGATGAATTGGAGCACACCTGTAGGTTTCCATGCTCCCTTTTCTGTTCCATCATAAACGTATGCATGATTCTATGAACAACATTCAATTGTCCGTACGCAACAAATCTGATTTAAGACAGCAATTTCATTAGACACACATTTTCCACAGGACAACGTAGAGCTCAGACCTTCATGCTTCATCATCAGCTTCAGTACTTCTAATTATTGCAGTTCTCCTTAACAAACACTGCTCACTGGGTGAAAAAGGGTTATTTTTAAGAAAGAAAATGCTGAGCATACTAAGTATACTAAGGATAGACAGATAGGCAACCAAATAGGATGCCCTAACAAAAGGGGCGAGGGGAGCATAGAGAGGCTTTAAGACTATGACAAAGACGAGTGCCGGGAGACACGACAGGGGTAAAGATGAATATGCCTCTGGCAGTTGAGTCCTGATTACTTTCTTACTGTTATGGCCTCACGTGTTCCAAGGCAATTTGGCTATATGGCTGAGCATAAAACAGCACAGTGAGCATATCACTGGTGTGGTTAATGCTTGCAACCTGCTTCCATCACAGCATATCAGAAGAGCTGTGTCCAAATTATTTGAAAGTGATGATTCTACTGAGGTTTTGTGCATGCACAATGGTTTTTTTTTCCACAAAGAAAAAGACAAATCAAACTTACAGTAGATGTCAGCACATGTTGAACATGCTCATAGGGCATGACGACAAAATTCCACTGGGAATTCATTAAACAACAGTAACAGAGCAGCAACAAAATAAGAGGATACCTATAAATTCTGAATGATTTTGAGACACATTAACAAACAAAATAAAAACTCGGCGTTTATAAGACAGGTCTTGTTTTTTTTTCCTGGAAAGGCTAAAAAGTCAATATTTTGTACATCCCACAATGTTAGTACCTTCTCAAATTTCTATATTGCTCTGCCCCACTGTCTTTTGCTCCCAAAACAAAAACAGGCCACAAAAAGCAATAAAAATAGCAGAAAACCAGTTTGTGTCATAAAGAAACATTTTCCTAAAACAGCTGGACACTGTAGGTTTTACCAGATTCTACTCAAACCGATGTAAGATGTTGTTAGGAACTATTTTAAAATGCGGATTAGTAAATTTGTTGATCCAGTGGAAAGTAGGGTTCTACAGAATTATCCAAAATAAAAAGCACTGAAACTATTATAAGATATATCAATATAGCAAATGTTATACTTTTACATTTATAAAAGTATACGTCCAAACTAAGTGACATTACTGTTGTTAAAACATGGAAATGTCAGTAAAGGTGATGAGCTGGGAAATGGTGAGTGCCAGTCAAACAGGTCAAAAGAAAAGACACATGGATGAACCATGAGAATGCCTGATTTAGTGGTGAATGTTATGTCATTAGTGGTAGCACACCATGAGAATATGAATTGTCTATTTATTTCTTATATAATCTAAGTGAGACGTGGCAGGGTCAAATAAGGGACAGAGGTAGAAGAGTTATGATCATTAAGATTACATAAACTATTATTAACCAAGCATGGCTTTTAAGGCTGCATCTCACTCTTTCTTGAGGACAGCTCCCCTGTGCTCCCCAGGGTTTTGCATCATTTTCTGAAATTGTGTTTATTCCTTTTCTCTTTATCATGCTCCTGTTTTTGCTAACTTTCACTTTCCTTTCTCTCACCGACTCACACACGCATGCATACACACGCCATTCAGTTTTAGAGAGCAATGTAGGCAGAAATGCCCATGCTTTGGATCATGCTGAGGAAGCAGGAATTAATTCCAATCAGGCTTGAACAGGAAAGAGCCATTCCATTTTGCACCACTCCTGGAGTCACTCAAACAAGAAGCACCCCTGCCTCTACTGCATATGCATGATCACACACACACAAACACACGGACGCATATACCCGTATCGCACAAACCCTTTGGAGTAAATATGGTGATATTGCTTAGCAGCTAAACAAAATTTTGTCTATTGAATATCAGCTGTCTTTGACATTAATACCACGCTAATGAAGCCCTTGACACCCTCATTCACCTGTCTTTTCCATTTTGCAAATAGTTTGAAGCAGCCATGGATTGCTGCTAATATACTCGGTCACAATAAAAACACGTTAGGATTTAAAGTATTGTAGTGTCATTTTTACTGACAGTGTACTCTCTCCATAAACCGCACTCCTGGAGCACCGTTCCTATGTTGCTCTTTCCCTCTTGTTCTTCCTTTTATCATTTGCCTCAAAACAGTGTTAGAACACAGCTTATCTGGGAGTAATGCAATTTGTTTGCCTCTACTTTCTTTATATGCCTGCACTGTTTCTTTCATTTTCTACTTCCTACTATCGAGAGTAAATTCAGTGACTCCAAATCCATTTTCATTTAACATAGCTATCTTACATGTCTGCTTTTTCATATATCCATCTCTCTTGTGGAGGAGAATTTTAACATATTGCTCTTTCTGGCACTTTACGCCTTCCATTGAGCCCATAAAAAAAGCTCACACACCCTACTTATGTATCATGAAAATAGCTGCAGTAAAACTTGCAATTCCATACATTACAGGCACCCTTGGGCTTTGCTATGTACAGAGCCTCAAACAGTTATCCAAATGGTTCTTGTCTGACTGCGCTAGACATTTTCCAGCTTACCTATGGGTGACAACTCTGCCACGCTGCCAATATAGGGTCCTTCCAAGAACTTGGGTTCACTGTCATTGATGTCCTGGACCTTGATGACAAACTCTGACTCTGGCTCAAGGGGATCATTAGAGAGTCGGTCCCGGGCCTGAGCCCTAAGAGTGTAAAAAGCCTTTTCCTCTCGGTCTAGTCTCTCTGTGGCATGTATGTCTCCTGTAAGCTCATCAATGATGAAGATGGATCCAGCTCCTTCTCCAGAGATAGTATATTTGATGTTGCCCTCACCATCATCAGAGTCTGTATGGATCTGTAAAAAAAAACAGAGCAGTTTTGAGAATGATGACTTCAATAAAACACACACATGCATTCCATCTTTTACGACTATGCAATGTGGTACGTACCGTAAAATTTCAAAAAAATGTTTTGTTAGTGTCATGATCAAGTTGCATATTGATGATGGTAAATGGTAAATGGCCTGTATTTGTATAGCGCTTTTCTAGTCCCTAAGGACCCCAAAGCGCTTTACACATTCAGTCATCCACCCATTCACACACTGGTGATGGCAAGCTACATTGTAGCCACAGCCACCCTGGGGCGGACTGACAGAGGCGAGGCTGCCGGACACTGGCGCCACCGGGCCCTCTAACCACCACCAGTAGGCAAAGGGTGAAGTGTCTTGCCCAAGGACACACCGACCAAGACTGTCCAAGCCGGGGCTCGAACCGGCAACCTTCCGATTACAAGGCGAACTCCCAACTCTTGAGCCACGATCGACAATAATTCATTGAATCAATGTTTATTATCAAAAGTATAGTTTTCTATTAAGGTTCTATTAAGGTTTGGGCACTAGTAGTCATTGTTAGTACCCAAACCTGAATGATTTGGGTACCATTCAATGTTGGCTGAATGCTTATAAAAGTCATAATTTGTTTAAAACACAAGAACTGATTAACTTTTTAATATGTAAATATTACATTTATTTATATATTAAAAACTCTGAGTTGAAAAGAAATCCACTTTAATGTAATGAACTTGCTACTGCTGTTGTTTTCCTTTTATTAGCTATTACTTTACGAGTGTTGTATTAATTTATTCAGATTGCAATCAAGTACTGTTTTGTTGGAGTGCATTTGAACGCAGGCTAATTCAAACCTTTCTACTTTAACTGAACATTTTGATACAGACAACAAAGCTATCTGTGAATCTCAGGCAAAATCTGCTCACCCCGTCCTAGCAGTCTGACGATCGGGGCCAACCAAATCAAACTGCAAAACTGTGCTTGAACCACGACAGGGATTACAGTCCTGTTTAAGCACTTGTTATCACATGGCTGACACACCACACTCGATGACACCTCAAAGTATTAGAAACTGTTGAAAATTTAGAAAAAATATCTGAAGTGATCCTTGTCCAAGTTGAGATTATTCTGTCACATATTTGCCAGGTATCTTATTTTTATGATTTTGTTTTAACTGCTGAGAAAAGGGTTAAAAATGGACAACCCCCAAATGATATTTGGTCATCAACCATGACCATAAGAAATATGTGTATTTTATTCATCCATTGACTTTTCTTCTCTTAGGGTGGTAAATCCAATTCAAGTCCTTCTAACTACTCCCTGCAGACTAGCCATCATCAGTGTGGTGAAAAAAAAGACACCAGAGTTCCTGTGATGATTTACACCTTTTCTGCACATTGTGCCCTTCACAGGATGTGACGCCCAAATTAGGAGATCAAAGTCATTCAAAGACTCTTAAATGTAGAGACATGGAGGTGCTGTGGCTGAAAAGTGAACTTAAAAGAGCCCTTATAAATCAGAGCTATAGTTTCCCCTAATGTGATTAGAAGACATTCCAGGGGTAGCAATAGGAGATGCATTGGTCCCCCATCCTAAACTCCCCTTTGGCTCTTTAGTGAGCATTAGACCTGCTTGCTACTGCTCCCTCTCCCTCTCACTCACCTTCTATCTAAAATTATAATTCAGAGCTGTCTATGCAGTGTAACTGTGGTTCAATCTACTCAACAGACCAGAGGAGAGGGGAAATCGCCCTGGCCTCCCTGGTTAATTTTTTATAAAGGCTTAATTAAATACAGGCCTCTATCACCCTTGCAGGGATTTTCATTAAGTATTTGTCGTAAAACCGAGGAATAATGCAAGCCTGTGCCTTGATATTGCTTCCATCATCCATTTTCTCCTTCTTTTTTATCTGTCTGTTTTTGCCTATTCTCCCCATTCTGAATCTTCCTGAAGACAAATACACGAACAGTCAGTGGAAATATACTGCTGGATACTTTGGCGGTATCAATATTTCAGTTATAATAAAAAAGAAAAAAAAGGAAAATAAAAGTTTCATTGGTCCAGACTGTGAAAGTTATCCAATAAAAGTGAGCACACGCTTCCACCACTTGATATGTTTCCTCCAGACTAAACCTCCTCCTGAATTTCTAAATTAGAATCTCAGGAGAGAAATGCATGTGTGAAGTGTTGCCATCTTGTGTTCATTCAGTTCCACAAATGTTGGCACAACAAGTCCTGCAATTAAATCTAAAAAGCAAACAAACCATGAAAGCATTTTTATAATGACCTATGTCAGAATTCCTGAAACCACAGTGTTTACTCTTTATAAAATGTGACAAATAGGGGAAAAATAGTAAGAAGGTAACATGGCAAAATCACACTCTCCATCTCTTGACTAAATGGATCTCTCTTAGCTCCCTTAACTCTTAACCCCTTTCTTGGCTGTCACTTGGGAACTCAAAGCTTCAGCTCCCTCCACAGATTTTGTATAGGATTGAGTTCTGGAGACTGGCCAGGCCACTCCATGACCTTAAAACTTCTTCGTTGCACTTCTTCTTTTACCTCTCTTTCGTTGCCTGGCAGTATGCTTTGGGTCATTCTATTCTAGAAGACCAACTTTCATTGTTTTGTCTTAGGGAAGGAGATTCTCCTCCAAGATTTTACATTGCCCCATCCCCTAACCCCTCAATGCAGTGAAGTTGTCCGGTAGGCTCATCTTGAAATGTTTCCACCTTGGTGGTTGAATGTGGTGATGATCTTCTGTGGGTCATACTTAGCGTTTTTCTTTCTTTAAATACACAAGGTCAAACTGATGGCAAAGAGCTTGATTGTGGCTTCATCTGACCACAACACTTTCTCCAAAATATATTCTGAATCATTTAGATGCTCACTGGCAAACTTAAGACCAGCCTCTATATGTGCCTTCTTGAGCAGGGAGGAACTTGTGGGCGCTGCAAGATTTCAATCCGTCACCGATGGTGGTCTACTGATTGCTAAAAAGCTGTTTGTGTAGGCGATAACACAAGCCTACACAGTCCCTGCATGTTTTGTCCCTGACTGGGACAAAACATGCAGGGACAGTTTTGTCCCTGATGTCCTTTGACAGCTCTCTGGTCCATAGTATTGCAGAAGTTGGAATGAAAAACAAACAAACAAAAAAAACACGATTTATTTATTTATTGACTTTAACCCGTGTGGTGCATGGTTGATATTTTGTCTTTTTATACTAAAATTAAACTATCATAAATTTCATTTCTTTCCAAGTGAGGGAACTTACAAATTCCGCAGATGATCAAATAATTATTTCCCTCACTGTACCTGGGATTGTTACGTACATTAGCTTAGAATGTTTCTTACAACAGGACTTTGAAATGTCTAAAAGTGGCTAATATCAGAGTACATTATTTTACATGTGGACACGCTCTCAGAGTCTAGAATTAAAATCCAGTTTAAAATCAAACTTAGGCTTTACATTCTCTCAGTGTTCACTTCAGTCTAAATTCTCTGTCTGGTTAAGTTTAGGTAAAAATATTGCTTGGTTTGGTTTAGGTTTACTATGTCAAAAAGATTTTTAAAAGCATAATTTTTCTACATCAATTAGGTGCAGAGACTTATTTACATCAACAAGGTTGCTTAACCTCCTAAGACCCGAACTCTTCCACGGCATGCATTTTTAATTTCTCTTTGATATTTGGGCTGATTGGGGCCAGATGAATGTAAAAACAAAGAATTACTGGATTTTTATTTATACCTGATTTTTGTTTCTAAGAAAAATAAGAGCCACATATGAGGACATTTGTTTAAAATTTCGATAGATCATAGGCAGTATAATGTCCTCGTAAGTGGATATCAGGCCCTTGTAGAGCAAAATTGAGTATTTTGGTCTAAATAACCCAAAATGAGATGTCCACATATGTGGATGCCAGGTCCTAGGAGGGGGAACCCTAGATGATTATAAGATGTTATAAAGAAGTCCTATGAGCTTTTTTTTCCTTTTTTCTTGCACACATAGACACAAACAAACATACATGTGTGTGTGTGTGTGTGGGCACACACACACACACACACACACACACACACACACACACACACACATGGATCATCATTCTGGAGGAATGATGCAATTTCTCTCCCCTCAGGCTGGCTATACCCATCCTTCTGTCAGTCTATCCTCACTGGAGTGATTCAAGTTGGCAGCTTGAAAAACACACACACAGACACACACACATGCACTACGCTTAGCTAAGTTGTTCTCTGCAAACTAAAGGTCAGAGTCAGGATGTCACTCACAAAAAATAACCGGGGGTGCAAAAGTGCACAACAAATTTCCAAGAAGAAGATGGGAAAGACGCACATCCTGTACACCTGCTGAGCATGACATTATAGATGTTTTTTCCTAAAATCTTTAAACGATATTCCTGACACTTTTGGGGGGAAATAGATTCTCCACATTTGGACAAGGTGTGCTATTTCTTTTATTGGCTAGGTCACTGGTATAGACATTATCAAAAAATACTAATACACACCAAGAAAAACAACATATATTTCAAATCAGTACTAAAGGAACTCTACTCTTTGATGTCATTGCTTCACTGTAGAAAGCTAATTATAAAACTGTGTAGCTTCCTTGTAGATTTTCACTAGTCCATACTAGCATATGGAAATCACACCGGCAGTCTAATTCCCTTCAATTAGTTAATATAAAGCTGATGAAGCTATGAGCATTTTGGACATACTGAGGACATAGCACAACAGAGAAGACTTTTATGCTGTGGAAAATGTAGGGTTTGTATTTCTCCCCCCCCATGGGCAGTGCACTTCTTTTCCACATTTCAATTCAATTGAATTCAGTTTTATTTAAATAGCACCAAATCACAACAACTGTTGCCTCAAGCTACTTTATATTGTAAGGAAAAGACTGTGCAATAATCAGACATCTCTATAAACTAGCATTTGGGGACAGTGAGAAGAAAAAACACAATTTTAACAGAAAGAAACCTCCATCAAAA